CGCGCGCCTTACTGCTCCGGGGGGTGCGGGGCTGGGCTGTCGCTCTCCCGCTTCCGTGCTGCTCGCTGTAAGTTTGTGCCCTCAAAGCTTTTTTTTACTTTTAATGTTATTGATAAATCGGTACCCAGTTATCATTAAGTTTCTTCTGTATCTTTCTGTGATCTTTGACCTGTTTCATTTTGCTCTACGTTAGAATGAAAAGAAACCCTCTCTCGTGTCACATCGTAGTAGAACTTCCCTCCCGCTCCGTTTCCGCCTCTGGAAAACCTTTTCCTAGGTGGGACGTGGAGAGTCGCTTCTCGGGCTGACTTTGTTTTAATCTTCACACCGTAATAGTTAGGATTTGAACACTTTCTGCGGAGTCTTGGTCGGACATCTGGCCGTCCTTCCCGCCGGCTGACTTCGGCTTCCGCCCGGACTCTCCGCGGGCCCTGCGGCCTCCGGGGCGTCGGACTCGGGCGGCGGCCGCTGCGCTCGTGGCGCTCGGCTGCCTCGGGCCCCTGCTCGCAGCCGCGGTGCGCGTGACGCCTCAGGAAGCGGCGGACGGACGGACCCCCGTCGGCCCCCCTCGGCCCGCGTTCACGCCCTCGCCTTCGTGTGCAGTAGCCCGGAACGGCCGGCCTCCCCTTGGTGCTGGGGTCTGTCCTGGGTCCTGGGCCTTCAGGGCCGCTCGTGTAGTGGTTAGCTTCGTCTCTCCGCTTGCCGCTCGGGACGCCACGGAAAACAGCACAGCGCCAGCCGTGACCGCGAGCCGCCCGCGAGCCCGTCCTCGGCCGGGGCCGGGGTCCCTCCGCGTCGTCCCCTCCGCCGCACTCATCGTGCGGCCGCCCGTTTTTAAGGCCAGGCAACAGCGTGAGGAGAGGCTCCAGCCCCCCTCGTGTGTGGCCACTTTTCTTGGAGTGGTTTGCCTTGGGCGCCGGGCTGGACCTTCCCGGCTTATGGCAGAGACTCTTCGCAGCTTCTCAGTCCGGGCGCAGGTCTTTCAGGATCTGCCCACTTTCCTTTTTTCGGTCATGTCCCTCTTTCCGAGACTGCTTGATTCATTGTCCCTTGGAGACCCTGATGGGCTCTAGAGCGCTGGAGGATTGCCCTCGGCTCCGACTCCTGCTGGCACGCGCTCTGCCCGCGCGGGTTTGCTCTCATTTTGATATATTCAGTTCTCTTTTTTCTTTTCTTTTCTGTTTTTGGGTTTTAAGGTCTTGGTTCTTGGTTGTATTTGACTTCGACTTTACTTACTTCTGGAGATGATCCAACATTGTCTTCCTTCACCTGCTGCTTGGCCTTTTCACACCTCTGCCCTCCCTCTGGGCTCTTCGGTCCTTCCCCCCGCCCATGGTGCTTTTCCATCTGTGCCGCCCTCATCGCGTCGCCTCGGGGCACTCTTGTCCACTCTGCTGCCCGCCTCTCCCCGTGCTGCCCTCGCCGCTGCCTTGTTCCGGATTCAGGGCGTCTCTTGCTCGTGTGTCCCTGTTCTCGGGCACTGTTGCCAGATGCAAGGGAAAGACCTAAACCTCCCTGCTGCCCTCTTCCCCTTCTTCAGGCAGGTCTTGAGTCCATTCCACCCTCTTCCCGTTCTCCCTTCCATCCCCAGCCCAGTTAGGCCCTCACCCTCTCTGACCAGCCCTGAGCCCTTCCTGCCCCGTTGCACTTCACGTCCCATCCTCCCTTCATTCCTTAGTTGTCTGGCGAGGCTCCGGGCCTCCACTGCTTCTCCCCTCCTCCTTCTGCAGGAGACAGCCCCGCTATGGGCTCTTAGGGAGGTGACTGGGCCGCCGTGGGCCCCTAGCTCCTGCAGCCCTCACCGTGCGCTTTGGTCTCACACGCTGACCTGCCTGGGTGTCTTGGACATCCAGCCCTCCTCCCCAGCCTGGGAGCTCTCAGAGCTTCTCTGCTCCAGGCTGGCCTTGGGTTTAGCACAATGGGTGCTGAAGGAATGGGTGTCAGGAATTAAGGGCCCTCACTGTTGGCTTTAATGTTATTAATCATATTATGGTAATTTAAATAAGTCTAAGGAAAATTGCTCTCATTTTTGGTGTACTTTTTTTTCAGGGTTATTTTGGAGCCGTTGGAGCACTCCTTGAGCTGTTGAAGATCCCCTGATCGTTACCTGGGGAGGGGTTCCTGGAACATTCCACAGTGGGATCTGTGAACTTTTGTTTTTTAAGAGACTTATTCAATTTTATGATTGTGTACTACCCGAATCAAAGCAAGAAAGGACAAGTGTATTTTTCTAAGTCATCAAGATAAATCCTTAAAAATTCAGCCTAAACTAGTAACCAGTAAGGAAAGATACATATATAAAAAGTGGACCATGTCCATGGCAGTGAGGATCTGCGGTGTTGAAGTTGCTCTTCAGTATAGCTTTGTTAACCGCCATGTATATTTAAAATTCAGCGTCACTTACTGGAGCCACTTCAGGGGAGAGCTGTTCTGTGTTCAGCTGACTGTGGTTTTGTGTCCTGTTGAACTTGCTAGATGTAAGGCAAGCACTGTATGTTGTAATCTAATCACAATGTTGTCAATATGGCCTTGGAGATCATCATCTGTGCATTAACTGTGGTGTGCATTTAGCCTTTTGTGTGAACATACTGAAAAACATGTTTTATTTCAAGGATCTGCAAACTTGATTGGGCAGAGTAATTCTGTATTTGTAACTTTGGCAATTAAGCAACTTTTGGAAGGGCAGTTCCAGGTTACTCTACACTGCAAGTCTGGGAAGGTCTGTTTGGAAAGATGGGGCTTAGTTTACCCTGGGCAGAATTTCCGGGGGGGTGGGGGCTGGGAGGTAATTTTGTCTTAAGTGAGTTAAGCTAGTAGAAAAAACACCACCTGGAAGGCTAAAAACCAGACAGAAGGGGCCTCTTGAATTGACATCTTTTCAGGGAATCGAGAATTTGGTTGTTTCGGGCTGGTAGAAAGTGAGGAATTGAAGTCCATTGATTAACTCATGGGGAGCAGGGCGGGGTATTTCTGCCTTCCCCTCCTACTTGGGGTCTTTACTTGCCACAAATTGCCAGGCAGGCTCGCTGGGTAGGACTGCATGAGAGCTGCACGTGCAGACTCAAAAGGTAGCGTGATTAGTCAGGTTTTAAGATGGAGTCTTGGTAGATTGACTTAGAACGTTTTCTTTCCGCTGTGCAGAATAATTTAAAAAACTCTTCCCCTTGGAGATAGACCAGCGTTTTGTGTATTTTTGTGTCCGCATCTCTGTTGAAGGCGATGAAGGGTCTGTATAAAATCAGCCTTTGAACCAGAAGGAAACCCCAGCCTCTTTGGCGCCTGGGCAGGGGGAGAACTGAAGAAGGTTCCCAGGGTCGCTGAGGGAGGAGGGTCGGGTCCCTCGGCACCTCTTGCCTTGGCCGCGTGGGGGCAGCAGAGGCACGTAGCAGCCGAAGGCGGCGGCCTGCGGCCCCCTCCCCCCAGGCCGTTTCCCAGGGGACGTCCCGCCCCTTCACGCAGTTGGGCGCCTGTGGCTTGTGGGTGCTGCCAGCCTGGTGCAGGCAGCAGGGCTGGAGGGACGCTGCGGGGATGGGACTGGTGGCCCCTGGGGGGCGATCGGTTTCTCTGCTGCTGCCACCCCTCGTGGCGCTTGGGACCCTCAGCCCGAGCCACCTCTAATCTTGTCCCGTAGCCCTCAGACGCGTTCCCCACGGCCTCCAGAGACAGCGTCACTACCCACTTGCTACTGCACAGTCGTGCTTCTGGAACCCCTTGTGCCCCAGGCCCTCTCCGCTTGCTCCCCCTCCAGAGACGGTAGCCTGGTCCGTCAGCCGCGAGTTCCTGAGTGGAACAGACATTTCCTGGCCTCGTCGTCAGTTGTGGCGCAGAGTTCTGGCGGCTCCTGCCCGGCCCGCTGCCACTCCTCAGAGGACGCAGGTGCACCCCGGCCCCCTAAGGGCCGGCAGCTCTGGGCGCGGATTTCTCAGGTAGCGGCCCCTCCCAGCCGCTGCCGCCTTCCCCTCTCACCGCGGAGTGTCCCTAAGGCCATCCCTGCACATTCTCCTCCCCGAGCCTGAGCCCAGTTTACGACCACTTCACTCCCTCCGGCTTGTGAGCTTGTGAGATGCGTGTAAGTAAACTCCCCTCTCCAGGCGCCACTGCCCTGTCCCGGCCATGTCCCTCCCGGTCGGCCCACCGTGAGGGGGCCCGAGGGGCGCCCCCCCCCCCACAGGCAGTGTCTGTCGGGGGAGGGGTGGCCCAAACCAAGATGGGCGAGGAAGGCTCTTAGGGCCGAGTGCTGGCGCGTGGTGGCTGGCGAGGGGGGCGGGAGTCCCGGTGAGGGGATCCAGGCTTGTTGGGGAGGCTTGGTTTTGGACTGTGTGATTCTGATACCAAAAAGGCAGCGGGGTATTTTAATGGGAGATTTCAGACCCGAGAGGGGTGTGTATCTAGGTGGGAATGTAGTGCGTATGCAGGTAGAGTGATTAGAACCGCTACAAGGTGGGCAGAGAAGGAAAGGCTGCAAAGTGGCCCAGTGGGGGCCGCAGAGGAGGAGTTCTCTGGCACCCGCATTCAGAGGAGGTTTAGGAAGTGGTCCAGATGGCCTTGAGGGGAGCACTTTTCCTCCAAGCTGTGGGGCCAGAGCTGAGCTGCAGGGGTCCCAGTGAGGGGTGGTGAGAAGAAATGGCAGTTGCCACAGGGTGACTTTGGACCGAGAGATGTTTTTTTCTTCTAACAAACAGAATAGTTGGTATTTCCAAGCCTGAGGTGTAGCTAGAGGGGTGGGGTGGGGCCAGTTCCCCCACCTCAACCCCCTCCCCCCAGCACTGCTGTCCGCATGGGTGAGACCACTGGTGTGTCTAGCCTCACTGTGACCTGGTGCTCCAGTCCTCACCCTTGACCCCGCACCCCACCCCACTGGAGGGCGCAGGCTGAAAGCTCGCCTTCATCACCGTCCCATGTTGACCAGCCAGCTCACTTTGATCAGAGCCACACACCTTGACTTTCCAACTCTTGCTACACAGGCTGAAGTGGGGTGTACAGGGTGCATACTCAACACATTATTTTCAAAACCTGTTTATTTACATCTGTTTACTTCAATTACATGCATGTTTTGTTTTGAAAACAGGAGTAATTAGCCCAAAATGCATTAAAATTTTAAAATAGCAATTAAATATACAAAAATATAGCTTACAAAAACTGCGAATGTTTAAAAATATTCTGCTGCAGAATTCTTAGTGTACAAACACGTCTATGAAACCTGAGGCTCAGCATTTCATAAACCTTTTTTTTTGAGGGAATTATACAAGATCTAGTGAATAAAACCCAGAGGGGCTAAATAAACTACAGGATTTAAACTACCCCATTCCTGGCAATGATGTCAAGAAACGCAGAGACGACAGTATCAGGAACACTCTTGGAAGACCAGGCCCTCGCCAGGAGAGACTTCCCTAATCTTGGCCCTGCCTGCTCTGGCAGGGCCTGTGAGGGAAGGGGCACATGGAAGGACAGTGCAGCTGGCCCTAGATGCAGGTCCCCCAGGCTTGTACTGGCACGGGGAGCAGAAAGGAGTTTCATCAAACTACAGACAGGTCCCTTGACACTGGTGGGGACCACATTCGAGGTCCATGTCCCTGAAGCAGGGTGGGTGTTCTCCCTGACCCTAGAGCCACAGAAGTGAGTACTAGGTTGGTAAGCCAAGGGTGCGATGCTTGGTCTAAAAGTGGAACAAAACTATTTGCATCTTGCAACAAGTTGGGCTCTAAAGGGGAACAAACTGAACGAGCCCCATTTTTCTCCTGTTTTTCTCACTCAAATGGAAGCACATTCCATGGCATATGGGATCTTTCGTTCGTCTTATCTACTAAAGAACCATTTCCAGTTTTGAACTGCAGATTTCACCAGAATTTAGACATTGTGAATTGAGACACATTCATCTCTTTTACTTAAAATTCTTAATAGCCAATGTGGAAGACATTCTAACCCAGAACAAGATACTCAAGTAACAGAAAGTGGCTTTTCACATACAATTCCTTTCAAGTTTCAGGTTAGGGGCCCAAGCTGCACTTTTAATCCAAGGGAAGAAGGCAGGACGCCAGGCAAGTTGGCAAGGACCAAGGCAGGAGTCCATGCCCCTCCCCGCAGAGCTGCCTGGAGGAAGCAACTCTATCTCCTGCAGGGGCAAAAGTGGACTTAAGACCTTTTTTTTTTTTTCTTCAAAGAAAAGGTGACTAGTGGAGTAATTTCTATTGTCAAATGGAGAAAATTCTGTGGGAAGCATTTTCTTTTTAATGTGTGCATAAAGTGGGGCGGGAAAGGGAGCAGAGTGCATGACCTTGAATAGGACACTGAAGTGTGTATCTATGGTTAATTTGGAGGAGACTGCCCATCTACCTGCTTAGTATCATCTGAGACATCACCCCCCCCCCCCCCCCCCGCCCAAGGCTGCCTCAGGCTTCAGTTGCTGCTGCTTCTCAAACCCCTGCCTCAAAAAAACAAAGGAGCTCGCCTAAGAAATCATGGCACTTGTAGCCAGACATCACCCTGTCAGATGGGGTTTGGTGGGGGTGGGGGCAGCTTGTCCAGGCCCTGCAAAGGCTGCTGGACTTGGACCAGAGGCCTGCATTGCTGCTGTCAGCAACAGAGCAGAACCTGCTCTTGAGTGTCCTCTGTCACAGGCCAGAAAGACAGTCTGGAAACTGGTTGTACTCGCATATTATCTGAGCATCTGTGTGGTAAGGGCCACGGAGGGATTGCTGTTTCTGCTTTGTATGGAAAACTAGAATTCCAGTATGCTGCAATCAATAAAAAAATGCCTTATTCAAAAAGGAATGTGATTGCAAAGACATCCCCCAATTATGGGCTCACCTTTTACAGATACTCTGCCTTCTGGGATGGCTCTTCCCCCATGAATAGGAATGCTCCTTGGATATACTTGTATCACATAAGTTAAAAAAAAAATTATGTACACACACAAGCACACATATGCGTGCGTATTTACCTGTATATGCATAAATGGTCACTGGAAGGATCTACCTGGAACAAACTAAGAGTGGGAGTTCAAGAGCTGATAAAGTTGGTCTTGCCAGGTCAGGGATGCAAGGAAGACTTTATGGAACTACATGAAGGGATTACCTACTCAAAAACTTAAGGAGTAGCACTCAGGGAGCACAATGGGCAAAGGTACATGGTACCTGGAAGTGACTAGGGAGGATCATGAGAGGCAAAGGAAGGGACCCAGGCAAACCCAGACCCCAGGGGCAGCCCCTGTCCCTCAGGAGGCTCCTGCTGAGGTTTTGTTGCTTACCTGAACTACAGAAGAGCCCCACGTGACCTGCATAATGATGCTGCCTATAATCAGGAGCTTCCATGACCCCAGGCCTACTGCCCACCAGACTTTGGACATGGCTGGTCCACACAAGAACCAGCAAAGATGTTACAGTTCTTAGGTGGTAGATAAGGGAACCAGCTTTGAGAGGCTAAGTTGCATAAAGACACATGGCTGGTGAATGGCAAGGGGTGATTTCAAATCACTCTGAGCACTTTTTCTGTCCTGAGCTCTAGGGATGCCTCCCTGTGTTCATTTTGTAATTCTCAGCCTTTCAGAAAATTACTACAGTTGTTCAGAATAGCTTAGCAGAGCAGGAACAGGCCATGGAGGTGACAGGCTTTGAAGTGGGGCTGTGGAAAGGGGCAAATCATTCTGATGGGCCCAAGGGACTTGGCACTGGGGCAAAGGATCTGCATTTGTCAAGACGTCAAAAACAAGCTAACTGGCAATGATGGGTGGTTCCCTGTATTCTTCCCCCCAGACTTCCCATGGGCCATCTGCTCCCATCTGGCCATTTTGGTCTTGTCCTCTCCCTGCCTCGGTGGGCACAGACTAGAAGGACCTTACCTGCTAGGAATAGGCCCAACCAAATCACACTGTGGCAAAGGAAAGCAGCAGAGGACAGTATCTTATGCCTACTCTATTCAGGAATCAAGTCAGGCTGGTTTTGTTCCCTGTTCCCTGCTTCTGAAGCCAGCTGAGTTCAGCTGTACCCCTAGCAATAACTAGATAATGATGCAGCCACCCATGGAGTTCAGTTGGGGCTGAGTTATGTTCTTTTAACCTACAGCATACAAGTAACATCCAATCTTTGAGCTGCTTAAGACACATTAAGAGAAAATAAAAAACTGCCATGTCATCAGCCAGTGGCCCAAAAGCAGACAGACCAAAAACCCTATGTGTTTACAGATCAACAAAAAGTCACCAACAGAAGACAGATGTGGCCAAGGTGGCCTCACTCTAAGGTGTAAGCCTGTGCCAAGAATATTAGGGGATCCTTAACTCATTCTTTAAAAAGGTCCAGATGGAGATTGAACCTTGTCCACAGAAAGCTGTTTTACCCAGAGTTAAAGGAAGATGTGAGTGAAGCGCAGGCCACGGGCAGTCACGGCAGCACGGCAGAGAGTGCTGGAGGAGAACCCGGGCGTGGGGAGCAAGTCCATTCAGGCTGTGTCGCTGAGAGTCGCAGGAACTACTGTGTGTGGCCCTGGCCAAGCTGCAGTGAGACAGGAGCCAAGAAATGAGCTCAAGCAGAGGGACCATGTTCCCCGCCCCCCGCCCAGCCCCACCCTGGCAGAAGAGCTGCGTTTACCAAGGCCTCCGCACTCAACTGGTGTCAAGGTCACATTGGCAGTACCTCGTGCGGGTTGGAGCCCGGTGGGGGGCGCACAGCATTCTTGAGCTTTCCTCTAACGGCCGGAACTACGCACCGACCCTGTCAACCTGCGCTTCCTGCAATACAGGAAACAAACTCCTCTACCTCCCTGCACATGCAGGGACTTGTGGGTGCCTCATACTGACGCACAGGGACAGAAAAAGGCCGCAACTGATCAGTTAGAATCCTGCTTGAAGCTGTGAGCTGAAATCATTTGCGGTTTAGAGCACGAGAACTCCTCCTCTGAGGGGAAAAATTCTCTTTCCTGTTTGAACCCCACAATGACAAGGTGAGATCTGTCCCAAGGCCATTCCATGGGAAATGGTGGGTGTTGGCCGCTAATGAGGCTAGTCCAGGCTTACTTCCGACACGGTCGCTGGAAACCTTTCACTGTAAACGGGGTGCTTTGCAGCATTAAGCTCCATTGTGCTACCAACACAGAACGCAGAAACGATGAGAGGAGGAATGCACGAAAAGTTCTTTTCAAGGATGCCCAACAGGCTAAGGCTTTCATATAAAAATATCCCACACTTCCTTGCCCTGTTTAAGCAGCAGCCAGTTGGCGTGCCATGAATAGGTCACACGGAGGAAACAGCCAATTCTGACCAACTGGATTTGTAATTTTCCAAGTTGGATTCTGCCCAGCACTTTCCTAGGCTAGTGGGAATTTTCCTCCTCCTCTGGCCTCAGCCACCTGAGCCAAGGACAGGTTCCCTCTCCCGTTCTAAGATGGTAGAGGCTAGATTCCAGAAAAAATCCCTGGAGACATGCTGTGAACAGAGTAGCAAAGCTTCCTCCATCCGCTCTCCATACGATGCGGACCACATTTCCAATGAGAAACTGTCCCCCTCACCTGTGGAATGCGGCAGAGCTGTTGACAAGGAGTCCACCCTATGACAGAAGGAGGGCTGTGGAAAAGAACTTTCTATCTGACCCAAAGCCACTTCAGATAGCTAATTTGTACAGTATTCGTGAACCCAAATGGATGGAGTCATTTCTAGAAAAGTTGGACAGAAGAGCTAAAGAGCAGCATGCATTTCTCTCCTATAAAGACACTTTCAGTTACTGAAGTCTGAAGAGTGAGGCACACACCAGCGGGTGAAGAGCGCTGCAGTGGCTTCCTGACACTACTTACAATTTCAAGTGGATCCCTGGCTTCACAATTACATAATTACATAAGGATCTTATTTGAGATGCTTTAAATTGTTAAAATGTCAACGACAGGCATTTTCTCTTAAGTAGAAACAGGGTCAGAGGGAAGAGAACAGGAAAGGAGGGGGGAGAGGAAAGGAGGTCAGCATCCTCTCATCTCAGCAGGGCCAGGAGGACTGGCCATTCTCAGGAAGGAGCTCCCCTTGGGAGCTTACCAAGGCAGTGGGCTGAGACTAGCAGCTGTGCTGGAAGCACAGTGCACGTGGGGGTGTGGGCAGCACCCTCACACAGGAACAGCATGGGCTCAGAGGCCCGCCCCTGGCTCGGGCTCCTGATGGGCAGCTTGGCCGGGCCTCACTGGGGAGTCAGGGGGTAGAGAAGAGGAAATGGCTTCTGACCAGGCCTTTCCAAGTGCATCTAATGTTTTTAGATGATTTGATAAGCAAGTGTCGTGAACTTGAGGGAGAAGGGGTGGCAAGGGGCACTGCTGCTCTGTGGTAACCAAAGCCCTTGGGTTCCAAGATGACCTTATCAAAGGAACATAATGTGAAAAGCCTTGTTGGCACTGCCTCACCAATCACTGGCAACCAGTCGTGCTTCAGCTGAGGTAACGGCTGGTTTTACTTGGCTCGGGCTGCCGGGAGGGTCTGCTGCTGCAAAGGCATGCACGGTCTGCATAGAAGCTCATCTGTCCGCAGGGTGGGGGGCAGGGGTGGCTTTAAAGACCTGCCCTCAGTTCCCTTCTCTAACAGTTCTGTTTATCTTCCCTTCTGCTTGATAAAGATTCACCTTGATACGGAGATAAGTATCTGGGAGACAGAGTAATGGCATCAGCAAGAGACCCTCATGAAATTTCTTGAACATAACCGGAAGGCTCATCTGTCATCCACTCCTCTTCTCTTGGCATGGGGTAGTGGCAGCGTGCTTTGGTTGTCACAAGACCCAGAAGTCTGGGTTTCCAGCTTAGCTGGCCCGAGTTCTTCATGAGGCAAAGGAAGTGGCAGCTGGTGCCCCAGGTAGAGCAGCCAACACAGAGACCGCTTGTGTTCCTCCTGGCTCCACATGGACGTCGGATCCCGCAGCAGTTTGATCCTTGGGGGACCTATACAATGTTCTCTGCCCCAGGGAGGGGCCCCTGTGGGGGTCCACGGTCCTGCTTACTGTGCAGCTGGGCCAGCTGCAGAACTGGCATGTTGCACAGCGGACACACCTTCCGAACCTCCAGCCACTTAATAAGGCACCTGCAAAGCAAGACAACACAGGAGGAAGCAGTCAGTCGTGTGCTTGTGGAGCCTCCTGCCCACGGGCCTCATGGGTTGAACATCTCTGTCCCTCATAGCCAGGGGCCTGTGTGAACACTCCGGTCCCAAACAGCTCCACCAGCAGGCGGACCAGAGCCTCTAGTCTTCCAAAAGGTGATACTAAGAAACCACAGTCAGCATGCTATATCTTCAAATTATCCGTGACGTGTTAATGAAGTACACTGAGGACGGTGGTGGGAAGTAGGAGAAATAAAAGTTTTTAATAAAAACACAAAATTGTCAAGAGAAGAGGAAATACTAACATGTCTGCATGGGAGATGACCTCACTCTACCATTTACATTCATACTTTATTTTTATTTAAAAATAATGATGGTTTTGGGGCGCCTGGGTGGCTCAGTTGGTTGAGCGACTGCCTTCGGCTCAGGTCATGATCCTCGAGTCCCAGGATCGAGTCCCACATCGGGCTCCCTGCTCGGCGAGGAGCCTGCTTCTCCCTCTAATCCTCCCCCCTCTCATGTGCTCGCTCTTTCTCGCTCTCTCAAATAAATAAATCTTTAAAAAAAAATGATGGTTTTGATTAAAGTAAGTTTTTAGGAATAGAAGCTCTCATTGAAAAGTTTCGTTAAGTAGCTGTTTATAGCCTGGGCTCTAAGGATGTGTGGGCTTATCTGGCCGTCTGCCCAAAGTCCTGCCTGGTGGTCATGTTCCATCATCCTGATCCCTCCTAAGTGTCACGTGTGTACACACACACACACACACACACGCACACACACGCACACACACCTCACCCTTAGGGTGCGTTCTGCTTTCTGCATTACAGACCAATCATAAAGCTGTCAAGCTTGTCCGGCACTGCCCCAAGCCCACAAGTTACTTGACAGGCCTCAAACTCAGGTCCCTTTAAATAATTCCACACCAATACTCACTTTCTGTGGAAGGCATGCTTACATGGACAAATGCCCAACTCATCTCGAGGCTTGAAGTCTTCTAGACACACTGCACAGAGCTGAAAGACAAATTCACAGATGAGGCAAAGTGTCTGCTAAGTACTCTCTCGTAGGCCCCAAAGTCAAGTGCAGACCCCAGCCATCTGAAGGGACTTAGAAGGTCCCATGACTGCTTAAATGAAAGAAACAGGCTGGAATGGACCAGGTCTTCTGAAGAAGAGTCTCCTGCTCTTCCTGTCACATGTCTTCAAGATGGAGGGCAGACAGGAATAGACCGCAAAAGGCAGCTTCCTATACTTCAGTGCATCAGAAGAGTCTCACTTAGGTTTATTCTCAGTAGACAGGCTGAATATAATGCAATTTTCCTGTGGTGGGTGAGGGGCTGACTTTCCCAGGGAATGTCTGTTCAGCAGCACAGCCCCTAAGGGGGACGCCTCATGCCCTGGGGCAGGCCCTGGTGGCCTTTGGTTTTTCATGATGTAGAAACTATAAACCATGGCAAAGCCTGCAGTAACATGCTTTTTTTTAGTTCCTGGGGCCCCTCGCTTTGGCACAGAATGTCCTGTCAGTGTCTTTGTCATATATAGAGTTATTCAAGAGTCACTGAAGTTAAACTTACGAAAATATACAGATGGGGCTAGGATCACTCTCTGACAGGGGGCTAGGCTCCACAGCCTGGAAAGAGGCCTTCAGAGCCAGATGCTGGGTTCCAACCACTGCTTCTTGGGCACATACTAGCGCCCAGGGACATCAAGTATCATTGCATATACCCACTTTACAGATGAGAAAACAGAGGCTCAGAGCCATAACCAACCTTGGTGAGTAGCCGGGCCTGGCTGGGGACCCAGGTCCATGGCACTGATGTGCTGCTGTACTACTTGTCTCCTGCCCAAAGGTTAAACTTCCCCCTGCTTGCTTCCCTGTCCATCTCCAGGGATCCTGGTTCAACCATCACCATTTCTTGTCCATCCCATTGACATGACCTCCCTGTTGCCTGTATCTTAACCTGTAATATGTAACCCATTCTTCTTAGGTTATGTGACAGGACACGTGGCTCTTGGTGCCCTGTGGCCAGTGCTGTGAATGTTGGTTTTCCAGCATCCTTCTCTGGGAAGCTCTCGGGCTTGTGTATACAGCAGACAGGATCCTCACAGGAGGAGGAGGAAAATGGGTAATTGTCTTAGGTTCAGCACTACTGTGGAGACAGCAGGGGAGAAGGCAGGACAGTTAGCCTTGCCTCAGACACCGACTAGCTGTGGGACCTCTGCCATCATGATGCCTCTCAAGCTCTGTTTCTTCATCTGTAAAGTGGGGACACTACCTGCCCCACTGTCATCAGTTCAGACGAGGAGCAGGGCTGAGGAGGCAGTAAGGCAGTCTACCAATACTAGTTGTTTTTATTTATGTTTACATTTCATGATGGGAACACTATTTTTAAGCCCATTTTTGACTTATGGAGGAAGGCTGAGAACAAGCTGTGGGGAAAGATGGGAAACTAGCCGTTCCAGCCATGGGGGTGGTCTTTTTGGGCCTTAGCTTCCTGTCTGTAAAGGGGGATGATGTTCCTACCTCGTAGACTATATGAACAGGCCCTTCTGCCCTTAAACACCAAGATTCCCTCCCAGCACAGGGAGGTAATGAGGGTCAGGACTGTTGGCTCTGCTTCTGGAGATTCAGTGTTGATCCTATCAAAGGACAGGAAGTTGGTCCAGCCACTCACTTTAATTTGCTTATTTTTCTAGGATCCAAGATTAGATTTGTGTAGCCTTTTCAAAAGGGAGTTATGATTAATGGTTATAATGTGCTATTATGTTCTTAAACAAATTCTAAAACCCATGGTCACCTGAAAAAAAAGAAAGATAAATTCTGACATGTTAAGTGCCAAAGGTGACCAGAAGCCAAGGGCAGTCACAAAGAGAAAAGCCTTAGATCTGACTTCTCAGAAGTTCCATGAAGGGCCAAACTAATTTTACAACTTTACAGATCATATTTTGCAAATCAGCTTTACTTTCCAGTATTTCAACAAGATTGCTTCTCCAGTGTAACTTCCCATACCTTTACCTTTTTATTTATTTAATTTTTTAAAAGATTTTATTTATTTATTTGAGAGAGAGAATGAGAGAGAGAGAGCACATGAGAGGAGGGAGGGTCAGAGGGAGAAGCAGACTCCCTGCTGAGCAGGGAGCCCCATGTGGGACTTGATCCTGGAACTCCAGGATCATGACCTGAGCCGAAGGCAGTCGCTTACTGAGCCACCCAGGCGCCCTACCTTTACCTTTTTAAAAATGGAGATGTAATTCACATAATATTCACTGCTTTAAAGTATATAATTCAGCAATTTTTAGTGTATTCACAGAATTGTGCAACCATCACCACTATCTAATTCCAGAACATTTCATTCCCTGCCCCCAAAGCCCAAACCCATAAGCAGTCACTCCTCATTCCCCCTTCTTCCCAGGCCCTGGGAACCACTAATCAACTTTCTGTCTTGATAGATTTGTCTATTCTGGTCATTTCCAGAATGAAATGGAATCAAGAAATGGTATCTTACAATATGTGGTCTTTTTTGTCTGCCTTCTTTTACTTAGCACGATGCCTTCAAAGTTCATCCATGTTTTTATTCATTTTTATGGCTAAATAGTATTATATTTTTGTTTATTTATGGCTAAATATATTATATATTTGTTTATTCATTCATATGTTGATGGCTACTTAGATTGTTTTTACCTTTTGGCTATTGTGAATAATGTTGCTCTAAACAAGTAATTGAGGGGTACCTGGATGGCTCAGTCTGTTAAGCATCTGCCTTTGGCTCAGGTCATGATCCCAGGGTCCTGGGATGGAGTGCCACATCAGGCTCCCTGCTCAGTGGGAAGTCTGTTTCTCCCTCTGCCTGCCACTCCCCCTGCTTGTGCTCTTTCACGCTCTTGACAAATAAATAAAATCTTAAAAAAAAAAACAACAACACAGCAACAACAATAAACCGAACAAGTAATTGACTTTTCAATTCTCTGGGTATATATCTAGGAGTAATTGTTAGATCATATGGTAACTCTATATTTAACTTTTTTAAGATTTTATTGCAGAGACCGGGGGGGGGGTGGAGATAGCAAGAGAGAGCACAAGCAGTGGGGAGAGGGAGAAGCAGGCTCCCCGCTGAACAAGGAGCCTGACATGGGGCTCAATCCCAGGACCCTGGGATCACAACCAGAGCCGAAGGCAGACGCTTAACCGACTGAGCCACCCAGGTGCCCCGGTATTTAAACTTTTGTTTTCCAGAGTGGCTACATAACTTCATATTCCCACCAGCTGTGTATGAAGGGTCCAATTTTTCCATATCATCACGTTATTATTATTATCTTTTGGATTATAGCCATCCTAGATGGTATGAAGTGGTATCTGATTGTGGTTCTGATTTGCATTTTTCGACTAATAATGTTATGCTTATTGGTCTGTTGTATATCTTCTTTGGAGAAATGTCTGTTCCCTTTGCCTCCATTTTTTTAGTTGGGTTATTTTTATTATTGAGATGTAAGATTTATTTATAAATATTCTAGACAGAAATCCCTTATCAGATAGCCAACTGATTTTGACAAGGGTGCAAAAGCATTTCAGTGGCAGAGGGACAATTTTTTTCAACAAATGGTGCTGGAGTACTTGGACATCCATAGGCATCAAAAGTATTATATCACCCCTAAAGCATAAACAACCAAAGGAAAAAAAAATCAATAAATTGGACTTCATCAAACTAAAAAACTTTTGTTCTAGAAAAGACCTTGTTACGATGAAAGGACTGATATAAAATATTTACAGATCTTTTTATTTTGTAGGCTTTTTATTATTGAGTTGTAACAGTTCATTATATATTGTGGATACTAGACTCTTATCAGATATAAGATCTGCAAATATTTTCTCCCTGTGGGTGTCTTTTTTCTTTCTTGATAATGTTATTTGAAGTACAAGGGTTTTTAAATTTTGATGAAGTTCGAATTATGTTTTTTTCCCTTTGGTTGCTTGTGCTTTAGGTGTCATATCTAAGAAACTGCTTGGGTTGTTTAACCCAAAGTCACAAAAATTTATTATTTTTTTTAAAGATTTTATTTATTTGAGAGACAGAGAATGAACGAGAGGGAGCACGAAAGGGGGGAGTGTCAGAGGGAGAAGCAGTCCTGAGCAGGGAGCCTGATGTGGGACTCGATCCCAGGACTCCAGGATCAGGACCTGAGCTGAAGGTAGTCGCTTAACCAACTGAGCCACCCAGGCGCCCCCCGCCAAAATTTATATCTATGCTTATTTCTAAGAGTTGTATAATTTTAGTTGTTACATTTAGGTCTTTGGTCCATTTTTTAGTTAATTTTTGTACATGGTGTGAAGCAGGGTTCTAACTTCATTCTTTTGCATATTTTGGTTATCTAGTTATCACAGCACCATTTACTGAATCAACTATTCTTTCCCTATTGAACTGTCTTGGCACACTTATTGAAAATCAAATGGCCATAAATGTATAGGTCTGTTTCTGAACTCTCAATTCTATTCCATTGATCTGCATGTCTTTCCAACTGCTAGTATCACACTGTCTTAAATATTGAAGTTTTAAGTTCTAAAATGGGAAGGTGTGAATCCTCCAACTCTGTTCTTTTTCAATATTGTTTTTGGATATTCTGGATTCCTTGCATTTCCATGTGAATTTTAGAATCTGCTTGTCAATTTCTACCAAAAAAAAAAAAAAGACAGCTGTGATTTTGATAGGGATAGCATTGATTCTGTAAGTATTATGGGGGGATATTGCCATTCTATCAATAGTAGGTCTTTGAAACCATGAACACAGTAGGTCTTTCCACTTACATAGGTCTTCCTTAATATGCTTCAAGGATTTTTTGGGGGAAGATTTTATTTATTTGACAGAGAGAGAGCACAAGCAGGGGGAATAGCAGGCAGAGGGAGAAGCAGACTCCCTGTTGAGCAAGGAGCCTGATGTGGGACTCGATCTCAGGACCCCAGGATCATGACCTAAGCCGAAGGCAAACGCTTAACCGACTGTGCCACCTAGGCGCCCCAGATATCCTTCAAGGATATTTTGTAGTTTTCAGTGTAGAAGTCTGAGCTTCTGTTAAATTTATTCCTAGTTACCTTATTCTTTTTGATGCTGTTGTAAATGGAATAGTTTTCTTAATTTCATTTTTGAATTATTCATTGCCAATGCACAGAAATACAGCTGGCTTTTGTATGTTGATTTTGTATCCTGGACATCTGCTGAACTCATTTATTAGTGCTCATGATTTTTGGTGGATTCTTTAGAGTTTTCAGTTTTTATAAATTCATGTCATCTGCAAATATAGTTTTACTTCTTCCTTTCTAATCTGGATGGCTTTTATTACTTTTTCTTGCCTAAAAGCTCTGGCTAGACCCTGCAGTACAATGTTGAATAAAAGTGTAAGAGCAGGCATCCTTGTCTTATTCTGATCTTAGGGGAAAAAGCTTTCAGTCTTTCACCATTATGATGTTAGCTCTGTGTTTTTCATAGATGCCCTTTATCAAGTTGAGGAAATTCCCTTCTATTCCTAGTATGTCAAGTGTTTTTATCATGAAAGAATGTTGAATTTTGTCAAGTTCTTTTTCTGCATCTATTGAAGTGATCATGTTTGTTTTTTTTTCCTCCCTTTATCTGTTAATAGGGTGTATTACATTGACTGACTTTCCTTTGTTGAACCAACCTTGTATTCCTGGAATAAATTCCATTTGGTTATGGCATATAATCCTTTTTATATGCTGGTAGGTTTGGTTTGCTAGTATTTTGTTGAGGACTTTTTCACCTATATTCGTAAGGGATATTGGTTTGGAGTTCTCTTTCTTTGTGATGTCTTTGTCTGGTCTTGACATTAGGACATGACAGAATGAGACAGGAAGAGTTCCTCATCACTTTTCATTTTTTGAAACCTATGATAATGTCAACCCTGCCAGAAGCGGGATAGGAATATATATTTACTTGAGTTTGCCTGTATTACATGTTAAAAGTCAGAAAAGTTAACTGATGCTATTTGTGGAAAGCAGAAGGAAGCTGGGTGAGGTACCTCCAAAGTAATTTTTTGCAGCTTGGGGAACAGCAGAAACTTCAAGTCTGTGGGAGCAGTAAGAGCATCAAGATGTGATGGCTCCAGACTCAAACAGATAGGGTCACACCCTTTTTGTTTTGTATCCAAAATGTGTTTATTGGGATGGTTTCCCATTTTGATGCAGGGTGCTTTTAGTGCTGTTTCTGTCTGAAGGAACATTCTTCTGTACACCCTGCTTTTCCTCCTGTAGGTTGGCAGAGAACAGTGGAGCAGCCAACACACAAAACTACCATTTGTTCACGATTAAAGTTGGTGGTGATTTTATAGCAACCTGGGCATTTCACATCCATGGAGTAGGAAGTGGGGCTCTGCACTAGGTGCTTGTGTTTCCTCTTCTCTTCTGGAGAGGGATGGGGGAGACTCTTTGTGAGGGGCATGTTGTGGGGAGATTGTCACCATGGGAAAGGCTAGGGTCACATTCTTTCTTCATGCTCAGAAGCTGGATAACATGCCCATGCCCATTCTACTCAACTTTTTAATTTTATTTTATTTGAGAGAGGGAGAGAGAGAGCAAGAGAGAGCACACACGAGCGGGGGGGTGGGCAGAGGAAGCAGGAGAAACAGACTCCTTGCCCAACAGGGAGCCCAACGAGGGCCTTGCTCCCAGGACCCTGGGATCACTGAGCTGAAGGCAGACGCTTAACGGACTGAATCACCCAGGTGCTCCTCTACTCAACTTTCTTAAATATGAATTTCTACAAATGCAAAATAAGGAATACCTTATCTAAATTTTTTAAAATGTGAGTTCCCTTGGTCTTAAGATAATTATATGAAGTAACAGACATCTCAGTAATTTTGCCACCTTGCATACTGATTCCATTTACATTACACTGAGATTATATCCATAAATAAGACATGTTTGAGGGAACAATGGCTTTATGGGAACTACAGATGTATATTGGACTAGCATTCAACTAGTGCACGATCTCTAAAATGCCCAAGAAGGCAGGCTTTGATAATTTCCAGGTGGCTGATACAGTCCATAAATTTACCTCAAATGCAAACCGGGGAAGGAGAATTATGTGGGGAACACAATGTCACACAATGAAAATGACCCACAGCTCAGGTGATTCAGCCAAAATGGTTTTCTTTTAAATAGATTCTATGATGGGCACTCATTAACATTATACCTCTCCTTGAATGGTTATGAAGCTATCACATCTTCTGCAGAGGCAGCATTTCTAGTTTAGAGGTGTCATTTAAAGTTGGAATCTCTGAGAGCTATTAAAGCAACCTAAAGATGGTTGTGCTACTCAGGAATGAGCCAACTTTCCTGTTCCAAACTGAACTACAGTGGGCAGTCTTTTCCATGGCCTTCATGTGTTTGTGTCCTTGGTCCATTACTGTACATGCCTCATTGACTTGTGACCTTCTCTCTTCTCTCCCATGGGATCAGTGTTCCTTGATCAAAGGGAGGGACTGTATTCTACCCATTCAATCTTTAGGGTCCTGTATACTGTTCCTTATACATGCTTTGGACTTTTGTTGTTGTTTTTTACTATTTTTACAATTCAAACAAACCTGGCACAAACCTAAATTGGGCTCCAAATATTTTTATACTAATTTAAAAGTAAAATTGAGGAACACGATTTATAAGAAGACTGATCAGTAGTTCTAGAAATACTGAAAAGGTTTACTCCTCCTACATAAGACAAAGACGTGGCAGAATTTGCACTGCCAAAGCCACCTCCTCCCTGGAGCAGAGGGAAGGGGATGAGCCTATGGGGAGGTGAGGAGAAGAAGGAAAAGATGTTCTTTACACAGGAGGCAACTCCAATGGGTCCAACCTTTTTATAGTCTCTTCTTGTGGAAAGCAGGGCAGAGCAGGGCCACAGCATGTCTGCTACACTACTCCTCACCCACTCCCTACTTGACTTGGGAAAACTGACCTAAAGATGGCCCTTCCTAGTCCTTGTGCAGCGAGGATCCCAGCTGCTGCTGAGATGCAGAGGGGAGCAGGGTCTCCTATCCTTCTGATGATACAGGCAATACGTGATGGAAGAGGGGATGGACCGAATTCAAATTTGGAAGCTACGCGGATGGCTCTACCACTGTATTATGGATGTGGACCCAGGGTTCTACAAGGCTATGCATATTCTGATTGGCCCATACGGCCACAGTAGGTAGAGGAGGCCTTCTCTGGTGTGGCAGGACAGAAAGAGTGCAATGTGGAAACAAAATCTGGATGATGGCTGAAAATTTCCCAAGCCTGGTGAAAGATAAACCTACATATTTATGAAGGTTGAGTAAACCACAAACAGGATAAATACAAAGAAATCCATGCTCAGATATATCATAATTAATTGCTGAAAACTAAACAAAGAAAAAAATCTTGAAAGCAGCTGGAGAAAAAGGACACATTACTGATAGAGGATCAAGGATTTGAATGACTATGAATTTCTCATTGGAAACCGTGGAGGCCAGAAGGAAGCAGCACATTTTAATGTGCTGAAAGAGGGTGCCTGGGTGGCTCAGTCAGTTAAGCGTCTGCCTTCGGCTCACGTCGTGATCCCAGAGTCCTGGGATCGAGCCCTGCACTGGGTTCCCTGCTCAGTGGGCAGTCTGCTTCTCCCTCTCTTCCCCCTCCCTGCTTGTGCTTTCTTGCTCTCTCTCTAATGAATAAAATCTTAAAAAAAAAAAAAAAAAAGGGCTGAAAGAAAATGTCAACCCAGAGTTCTATACCAAATAAAAATATTCTCCTTAGGAATGAAGGTGAAATAAAGACATTCTCAGATGAAGGCAAACTAGTAGAATTCACAGTCAGCAGATCTGCTCTAAAAGAATGCTAAAGGAAGATCATCAGATAGAAGGAAAATGGAATTAAGAAGGAAATTGGAATATTAGGAATGAAGAGCAACAGATATGACAAATATCTGGATAAATATTTATGACTATTCTTCCTCTCTGAATTCTTTAGAAGATACTTGACAGCTATAAGTAAAAAATATAACATTATCTGATGGGATTTTCAATGTATATAGATGTAATACGATAGCTATTGCATAAAGGGAAAATGATAAAGGGATCTATATGGTGAGAGGTTTCTACATTCCAATTGAAGTGCTAAAAAATTGATTCTAAGTATTTATTTTATAATCCACTAAAATATTATACAAAAAGATAGAGTCAAAATCATAATAGATACTAAAAATGGATTACTAGGGGTGCCTGAGTGGCTCAGTTGGTTGAGTATCTGCCTTCGGCTCAGGTCATCGTTCCGGGGTCCTGGGATTGAGCCCCACATCGGGCTCCCTGCTTGATGGGGAGTCTGCTTCTCCTTCGCCCTCTGCCCCTCCCCCCACTCATGCTCTCTCTTGTGCTCTCTTAAATGAATAAATGAAAAATCTTTAAAAAAATAAAAATTATTACTAAAATGGATTACTAAAAATGTTCAAATAACCCAAAGAAGGCAGGAATAGGGAAAAAGAATGACAAAGAGTGGGAAAAGCAGAAGACAAATAATACAATGGTAGACCTAATTCCAAACATCAATAATTGCCTCGAATGTAAATGGTCTAAACACACCAATTAAAACAAAGATTGGCAGAGTGGGTTAAAGAAAAAAAAAATCATAACCAAACCTTATGCTATTTATAAGAAAATTCACTTCAAATATATAGGTAGACTGAAATTAAAAAGATGGAAAAAGGCATGCCATGCAAACATTAATCAAAAGAAAGCTAGAGGTGCTATGTATTTTTTTTAAAAAGGAGTTAATTCTTTTTATTTATTTGAGAGAGAGAGAGAGAGAGAAAGAGCTCGTGAGCATGAGTAGGGGGAGGGGCAGAGGGAGAGAATCTTTAAGCAGACTCCCCATTGAGTGGGGAGCCTGATGCAGGGCTTGGTCTCACCACCCATGAGATCATGACCTGAGCTAAAACCAAGAGTTGGATGTTTAACTGACTGAGCTACCCAGGCGCCCCAGCTAGAGGTGCTATATTAATATTGGGCAAAGATTTCAAAGCAAAGAAAACTGCCAGAGATGAAGAGGGATATTATAATTTCAATAAAAGGCTCAATTCACCAAGAAGACATAATCCTAAAAATCCTAAATGTGTATTCAGCTAACAGAGCCTTATACAAATAAGTAAATAAATGAAAAGACATAATGTGTTTATAGATTAGAAGACTCAACATGGTAAAGATGTCAATTTTCCCCGGATTTATAGATTTAATGAAATACTAATCAAAATCCCACAGCAGGATTTCTTCTTTTTTGTAGCTATAGACCAGCTGATGCTACAATTTATATGGAAGAGCAAGGAATTAGACTTAACAGTTTTGGAGAAGAATAAAGTTGGAGGACCACACTGCCTGATTTTAAGACTTACAGAGCTACAGTAAGCTTTATTAGTAAAGCTACATTAAGACTGTAGTGTTGGTGAAAGTTTGAGTGTATAAATCAATGGAACAGAGTCACAAAACATGGCCATTTGATTTCTGACAAAGGAAATTTAATGGAGAAAGCTACCACTCACCAAAACTAGAGTTGGGGACACTGTGGTGAACAAATCAAAGACTAAATGCAAACAGGGAGCAGATCATAAACAATGCCAAGACTCTCGAGCTTCTCTTGAAGAAACCCAGATCTGGCAGCAACTGGCCTACATTCCCCCATGGCAACAATCAGCTAGAGCTGAGTGCTGGCACCTCCTTTAACAGGGCCTGCATGCCCCAGTGTATTGCAGCTTCCATAGCACCCTTCTGTTTTTGACACCAAGACCTCATTAGATGCCATTTATTAACCCACTTGCATGATTGTTCTGTTGTTTCTCTTAGAGATCTCCTTCTCTATATCTGTGTCTCTATGAAAAGATGGAGAAATAAAAACAGGGAAGACTATGGGTATCGACAACATTTTTCTTCAAAGAAGGACAATATATTCTTGTGTTTTGATTATGTATATAGTATCTCTTTAGCTTCACTTAGTGTAAGTGTTGTTTGAGTCCTATACTGGTAGAAAAAATTAAGCAAAAATGATATAGTCACAGCTATAGAACCAACTGTCTAAGAAGCTGGGGTGGGGGAGTGGTGTCTGGGCATCTCAGCCTGCAAGGTCCCAGGAAATCTCCCTTAGGGGAGCAAAAGCCAAGCAGCTGTGTGATTGTGCAATACAAGAATCCTCAAGAACTTCTCAGCATATATCCCAGATAACACACAGCACCCTTCTGCACACTGCAGTTTGACTTTCTCATTTATAGTCCCCTCTACCAGACTGCTAACTAAGAGTAGAAATTAGTATTTTATGCTTGTGTCTCTGCAGTTTAGTTTAGTACAGTGTCTGACATGTTTTATGTATCCAATAACTCTAAAAATTATTATTATTATTTTAGAGGGGGAAGGACAGAGGGAGAGAATCTCAAGGATGCTCCACACCCAGTGTGGAGCCTGAAGTGGGGCTCAATCTCACCATCTTAATATCATGACTTGAGCTGAAATCAAGAGTTGGACACCTAACCAACTGAGCCACCCAGGTTCCCCAACTCTAAAATTATTTTAAAAGTAATATATTAACTTGTTTTCCTTCTTTAAGAACCCATTACATATAAAACTAACATCTCTTTTGACCAACTCCCCCTAATCTTTCTCTTCTCTTTCTCCATGTAACTATGTATGTGTCCTTCTCAAACACAGTAAAACACCTTGTAGTATGCATATAAATCCATGAACAATAGGGTGTTTAGTTTAGTTTACATATGTCATATAAACATATCACTTTGTGACTTGCTTTTTTTCGATCCCACTAGAGATCTATCCCAATTGACACGTTTACTGATAGAGCTCAATCCTTAATTTTGCCAACTTTATAGTACCTCATTGTACTATATCAGGTTTCCTTCCTTCCCTCCCTCTCTTGGTGGATAATCTTCCACTCGCATGATTGTTCTGTTGGTGAAAGGATGAGTGTATAAATCAATGTATATCATGTTTTATTTATTCACTCACCACTGATGGACATTTAGCTTGTCTTTGATTTTTCACTATTGTAATTATTCACTAATAACAGTATCCATATCGAAATTCCACATGCTTACACAGGACCAAGCTATGTTACTACTGTATAATTAGGCTACAGAAATGCACATATACACACAAAAGTCGGACAAAATAGTTTCATCACCAAGAAATGCAGCTGAAAAAGACCAAATGAATTGCAAAAAATACCTGATTGCCTCTAGAAGCAAGCAATAGAGCAAGGTTAGGTTATCCTAGCTACTAGTTTCAAATAACGGGGAGAGGGGATCAGCAGCTGGTCAGATTCAGCAAAACTGGAATGGGTAGGTGCAAATGGGATATAACTCTGATACATAATGATGCAACACAACGTACTCATTCAAGATAAAGACCCATTCTAAACTAGTGGGTCAGACCAATGAGGAAGACTTCTGCTCCTGAGGAACCTGGTTAATATTGGTAACATGTGTCAGAATATAATCTTTACATTTATGGTCCTCAAAGAGACCCCAGATAGAAAAGAGATCATCCTCTATTATTTCATGTTAATTCTGGGAAAATTTAAAAATCAAACAGTAAAAAAAAAAAATCAAACAGTAATTGATGCTTTGGATTTAAAAGGTTAGTTCTAAAATGCTGTAATATAGCAACTCTTTGATTAAAAAAATATGCAAAAAGAGCAAAGCAGTAGACATTTTCAAAGTGTCTGACAATAATATAAATCATTCTTTTCTTTTTTTCCAAAATTTTATTTACTTATTTGATAGAGAGAGAGCACAAGCAGGAAGAGTGGCAGGCAGAGGAAGAGGAAGCAGCAGGCTCCCTGCTGAGCAGGGAGCCCAATGCGGGGCTTGATCCCAGGACCCTGAGATCAGGACCTGAGCCAAAGGCAGACACTTAACTGACTGAGCCACCCAGGCACCCCTAAATCATTATTTTATTATTATTCAAATAATTTCACAAATTAACTCTCTTTGAAGAGACTAGCAATGAAGCTGCCCCACAATTATGTAAGACAGATATCATAATGTGCAGCTTTCCAAGTCCTTGTTTTACAAACCAATTCAAAAACTTGGAAAGGAAGAGAAAAGGACCCTAAAATTTAAAATTCTGAACTGTAGTCAGAGACGACAAAAGGAGTAAAATGAAAAAGAATTCTTATAGGCAATGTGTCTGAAGATGTACAGCAGGACACCCACACACTTTTGTATTCACATTACAAAGCATGGTAACATAATGAACACCTGGGAACTAACCACGCAACTTCATCACTAGACAATCCCAAGGAGTCAAAGTCAAACTGCATTCTTCTCTATTGTATTCTCTTGCTTCACCTCCCCAAACCCCCACCCCATGAAGTAATCACTGCCTCTTTTGTGCCATTTATATGACGGGATTCTAGGAACATTTTCAAGAATGAAATTAGTACAAATTCATCTTGAGTAGAAAAACTAATTTATATCTATCTACTCATACCAGGGATAGCACACAGCATCCCTACTGCTATGAAATCTTACATCACCACCATCTCTATTAAAAATCTTCTCATAATTGTCATCTCATAATTGATTTTTATGTGACCACACCCTCAAATATTCTATTAAGCAGATCAAAATAAGTCTAACTTTTTTTTCACTTCTTGGAATAAAGATGGTTAAGCATACCACAGCATACTACTTCTATTAGATAATAGCTCAAGAAAAGATTAAAATACTTATAGGCAACTTACCTCATGTAAATTCAGTTCTTTAACTTTCTCTTTTAATATAACCTGTAAGACAAAAAAGTATGTTATGCCCATTTAAATTTATAATTAAAAAATTTCTCATTATACTAAAACATATTTTTCTTTTGTATATGTAGCTCACTTCTCCTCCTGTTCAATATTGGAAAAAATCTCTTTTATATTGAGACAGAACATTTTAGCCATATTTTTTTTAGCAACATTTTTTTTTAACTTGAGCAGTGACGCAATGTTCTCCTGAAAAACAATTTTAAAATCCCTTTGAGTGTAGATTAAATTTCAGGAAAAGACATAAATACATGCTCATCTGGACCAAGTGCTAACTTAGGAGGAAAACAAATGAGGTTGACTCTCATGATTCACTAAAACACAGTATTAGCTGATGGGAATTGACTATTAATGTATAAAAGATTAAAAAAATAAGGTCAAGCTTAATTTTGCAAGTTTTGCTTATTTTTATTCATCATTATCCTCAGAAAATTTTAGCTCTACCTAAAGTCATGTAAATGAACTTAAAATTCACCCAGGTGCCATCCCCAACCTGTGGTAACTGGATACCAGTTAAAAAAATGACAAGTGATAAGAGGGCAGCAGATTATTATTTAAAAAGAAAATTTCCAGGGGCGCCTGATTGGCTGTTGGTAGAGCATGTGACTCTTGATCTCGGGGTTGTGAATTCAAGCCCCATGTTGGGTGTAGTGATTACTTAAAAAATAAAAAAAAATTTTTTGGAGAATAAACAGTTTATTAGAATTATATGCCATCTTAAAGTAAAAAAATAGGTAAGTGAAATTTGGGGGAAAATCTCCCAGTTCTGAGTATCTTACATTCTTGAACCAAAAATGGTTTTCAGGGCAAATCATATTTTCAGAAATCACAACCAAAAGCTACCATCCAGCTATGCAAGGATGTACTAAATTTCCAATTCAGTATATTTTAAAAATCACTTTACTGTCTATCTTGTTACTCTTTTAACTCTATCAGTCAATTTTACTTGTTAAATGGCCATCAAGGCCAATTTTACTTTCTAGTTAGCTTACATCTTACATACAAATATCTTATAAGTTGTCAAATTTATGATAATATTGAGACAAAAGGATTCATTAATTTAGAAAACTGAAACATTCAACTCTATGAATCTCACATGAGACCTATTGGGAAGACGATGGTGTTACCTATGGACATCAGTGTGGACATCTAAGGAACTTGACAATGAGCTCAGATTTCAAAGAGACATAAAAGATGGACAAAGAGATACGTAATCCTAAAATGATGACATGGTCCTGCAGCATCAGTGTCAGCAAGGTTAAAGACCCAAATAAACTAAAGCTTACCCCACGACTCCATAAAAACAAACAAAAACAAAACAAAACCAAAACCCAAATCCCAAAACCAGAAAGCAAAAAAAACTAAGGACAATAAAAATAATTTCATACTTTGGGTCAAAAGAAAATTAAGGAACACCTAGGCCCACTGTTTGGTGTCTGTGGTAAAATGTTATCAGATGACACATGGAAGAAAAAACAAATTTTACTTGGCCATCAAGAAAAGCTAAGTTTGTTCCCTTAAAGAACAAATCGGTAAAGGAATGACAGTACAAAGAGTAGGGATTAACAGCAATGACCCAGGTATTTAGACTTCCGGTGGTGTGACGTGAGAGAGGAGGAGGAGATGAGATCACTATAATGCAACTGTTCACCTCTGAGGAATTGATATGTCTTCTAACGGAAGAAGTAACAAATTCATTTAATGGGATCTCTTAACTCTACTAGATTAACAGTAATTTTAAGGATTATTAACCATAGCATTTGCCTTTAGCAGTGTTGGCTAAAGTTCCCTGTTATATTATTATATCATCTGAACTTCAAATAATGAGAAATACTTAAAGTGAAGTTGATCTATTTTGTACTGCAAACTGGAAGTGAAATGCTAAAATGAACACAAGTAAATCCAGTCCCAGTTTAAAATACGAGTGGAAATCTAAGTTCTCATTTTTTGGTTAAAAAAAAAAAATCAAGGCCAATCCGAAGTAAATTTCTTACCTGTTTATAGGCATAAAATTCTTTGTGTGCTTGATGTCTTAGCCTAAAAAGACAAATGAGCAATGTGATACTGAGGTTTCCAATATAACAATTTGATAAAGATCTTAAACAGATTTTTGATATTAATTTATATCATTTATGGTTTAAAATCCAAAATCTTTATCCTGAAAAACACCCAAATGACATATTTATTACCATGTTATGAAAAAGTAGCCAAAGAACCATAAAATGTTATGTTATCCAAATGTTAAGTTCAAGTGAAATCTCATTAAAACAAAATCTTAATACAACAAATATTTAAATGAAGCTTCAATTCTATTTATATTGGTGACAGTCCATTTGTTTTAGTATTTATCACATTTTTTCTTAATTTAAAAAATTTAAGTGTAACATCCATCTAATAATGTAAAAAAAAACCTTAAGAATACAGCTAAATGTGGGGCACTTGGGTGGCTCCGTTGGTTAAGCATCGGCTTTCGGGTCAGGTCATGATCCCAGAGTGCTGGGATGGAGCCCCGTGTCTGTCTCCCTGCTCAGTGGGGAGTCTGCTTCTCCCTCTGCCCCTCCCCCCTGCTTCCCTGTTTGTGCTCGCTCTCTCACTGGCTCTCTCTCTCGCTCTCACCTTCTCTAAGAAATTTCAAAAAAAAATACAGCTCAATGTTAAAAAAAATAATATATGTACATACACACACATAAGTGTAACTATCACCCAGATCAAGATATAGAACATTTCCAGGACCCCTGAAATGACTCCTAACAATCAATATCTACCCCTAAGAGGTACCCACTATCCTGATTCCTATCATTATAGATTGTGCTTGTTTTGAACTTCACTTAAATGTTATCATTTGATATATGCTTTTTGTGTTGGCTTCTTTCAGCTAACAATTACTTGTGAAATTCATCCACATGGTTGCAGTAATTCTTTTTGACTGATATATAGTGTTCCACTGTATGAATATAAGACTATCCATTACACTGTTGATGAATATTTAGGTTACTTCCAGTTTGGGGCTATTATAAATAAAGCTGCTACCTAAATTCTATGTCTTTTAGTGGACATATAGACTTAATTCTGTTGAGTATATACCTAGGAGTAGAACTGCTAGTCAAAATGCTTGTACTGATTTCCATTCCTAGATATAATGCACTAGAGCTCTTGCTGTTTTACATCTTTGCCACTACTTGGTAGGATCAGTTAAAAAAAATTTAGCCAATCTGGTAGGTATTCAGTGGTATCTCATTTCAGCTTTAATTTGCATTTCCCAATTGATGTTCAGCACCCTTTTATAAGCTTATTTTCCATTTGGATAACTTCCTTTATAAAATGCCTGTTTGATGGGGCACCTGGGTGGCTCAGTCAGTTAAGCGTCTGCCTTTGCCTTGGGTCATGATCGCAGGGTCCTGGGATCGAGCCCCACATCAGGCCCCCTGTTCAGTGGGAGGCCTACTTCTCCCTCTCCCACCCGCCCTGCTTGTGTTCCCTCTCTCGATGTGTCTCTGTCAAATAAATAAAATCTTTAAAAAAAAAAGAAAAAATAAACTGCCTGTTTGAGTCTTTAAAAAATGAGTTACCTTCTTCTTATTGATTTGTAGGAGTTCTTTATATATTTCAGACGCAAGTCCTCTCTTGGGTCTATGTACTGCAATTATCTCCCACTCTATGGCTTGCATTTTCATTCTCTTGATGGTATCTTTTGATGAACAGAAGCTTTTAATTCAAATTAAGTCCAATTTATAAACTCTTCACAATAATGTCAAGTTCTTTTTGCATCCAGTTAAAGAAATCTTTGCCTACCCCCCCGATCAAGATATTCTCGTGTGTATTGTGAAAACAATTTATCTTACCTGTCACATTTAGGTATTCATCCAAAATTACTTATGATCCATCTGAAATTAGTCTTTATATATGATGTGAGGAAGGGGTCAAGATTCTTTCTATTCACATGCAGATTTTCATTTGATTCATTTATTCAAAAGACCCTATTTTCCCTATTGCATAGCAGTGGCACATCTGTCCTAAGTTAGATCCAATATGTGGGTCTGTTTTTAGAGTTCCATTCTATTCCATTGGTCTATTTGCCTATTCCTGTATACTCACTTGAATAGTCTAAAAAATTTATGTCTGCTGGAACCTCAGAATGCAACCCTATTTGGAAATAGAGCCTTTGTAGATTATTTAGTTAAAATGAGGTCATATTAAATCCAATATGACTGGTTTAGAAGAAGAAGGCCAGGTGAAGACAGAAACAGATTGAAATCATGCAGGTACAAGCCAAAGAACATAAAAGATTTCTGGTAACTACCAGGAACTAGGGAAGAGGCAAGGAAGGATTCTCCCCTAGAGCCTTCAGAGGAAGCATGGACCTGCTGGGACACCTTGATTTCAAACTTCTAACCCCCAGAACTGTGAGATTAGAGTTCTGTTATTTTTAAGCTACTTGGTTTGTGGTACTTTGTTATAGCAGCCCTGGGAAATGAATGCACCTGATGTCATTACCACATTAGTTTTTTTTTTTAAGATTTTATTTATTTATTTATGAGAGAGAGAGAGAGCGAGCAGAAGGAGGGGGAGTGGCAGGCAGAGAGGGAGAAGCAGGCTCCCCACTGAGCAACGAGTCCAATGCAAGACTCGATTCCAGGACCCTGGGATCATGACCTGAGCTGACGGCAGACGTGTTATGACTGAGCCACCCAAGCAGCCCCACATTAGTTTTTCTCTTAACTTTTATTCTGAAATAATTTTTCAAAATAGCTGCAAAAAGAAAAGCTGCAAAAAATAGAGGTCACATAAATTTCCTCCCAGATTTACCAATGTTAACATCTTACACAACCATTGTACAATGATCAAAACCGGAAATTAACACTGATATTATTAATATTGTCATAATATTAAACATTGTTTGAATTTCACGTTTTTTTCATTACTGTCCTTTTCCTGTTCTATTATCCAATCCAAAATCCTTCTTGCATCTATTTATGTCTCCTTAGCCTCCTCCAATCTCTGACAATTCTTTAGTTTTCCCTTGACTTTCAAGATTTTGACACATTAACCAATGATCATTTGGTTATGGAGGTGTCTACCAGGTCTCTCCACTGTAAAAGGTACTATTTCCCTCTTTGTGACTGATCAATATCTTGGGGGAGAGATGTTGAAACTATGCAAATACCCTATTTTTTTCTCAAACTTTTGCCCACTTATTTTAGCACCCATCTTGCTTGCAACAATTACTGTAGTGGCTACATGATGGTGGTTTTGTAGTTTTCTAATTCCTTGTACATTAATTGGAATTCTTCTGTATGGAAGAGTTATCCCTTATTTATTTATCAGTATTAATTTGTGTATATTTGTTTTTGTCTATGGGTTATAATTCAGTATGATCATTATTTGTTTTGTTGCTCAAACTGATTTAGGGTTGGCCTTCAGGAGCTCCATCAGGTTGACTCCTGTGTCCTTTCAATATGCCCCCATCCTTTTCCATGCACGTCCTTGCTTACTGGCACTAAAAGGTGTTCCAGGCTCATCTTGTATTTCCTATGCCCCAGTTGTGGAATTAACCACTTCTTCAAAAGAATCTTCCTTTTATTGGAGAAGAGTATTTAGAAACCAAATTCTGGGTGCTAGGTGAATAGCACTTTAAGTACTGGGGCTTTGTAACAAGTATGGGTCTGGCAGTATTAAGTCCTCAAGCTCTGCTCTTAACTACTGTCTTGGCTATTCTTTTTTTTCTTTAAAGACACATTTATTCAGCGTCATGATCAGACTATTACATTTAGCAATCAACAGCATGGGTGCAAAAAAAAAAATCTATATTAAAACCCTTTGTTGGAATGCTTTCCACTTTCCACAGAACAGAAACAAAAATAACCTGTTATACAATTAGTCACAAATACAGTCCTCGAGTTTTTTGCCCATACATGAGTATTGTCTAAAACATGTCTTCTTTGTAGCAGCTCGGCCCTGCCACCACTGTGCTTGGCTGAGTTCACAAATCTGTTGTAACCTGTAGCTTCCCTGTGACTTCTCTGGCTCTCCTCTCCTGCTAAGCTTTGTTTCCTGGCAGTGATTAAAACCTTCTGCCACTGCCGTAGCTACTGCTGCTGCTGGAACCACCATAGCCACCTTGGTTTCGTGGTTTGGCAAAGTATTGGCCTCCACCACCATAGGGGCCAGAGCTTCTGCTTCCGAGATTTCCTCCTTTCATGGGTCCAAAATTTGAGGACTGATTGTTGTAATTGCCAAAATCATTATAGCTTCTGCCACCTCCAAAGCTGCTTCCATCATTACCAAATCCATTATAGCCATCCCCACTACCACCATATCCACCACCACCTCGACTGCCACCAAAGCCACCTCGACCACTGAAGTTCCCTCCACGACCAAAGCTGTCATTCCCACCAAAACCACCTCCACAATCACCACCAAAGTTTCCAGAACCACTTTGACCTCATTGGCTGGATGAAGCACTAGCCATCTCTCGCTTAGATAGGGCTTTCCTTACTTCACAGTTATGGCCGTTCACAGTATGGTATTTTTGAATGACAATCTTGTCTACAGAGTCATGGTCATCAAATGTTACAAAAGCAAAACCTCTCTTTTTGCCACTGCCTCGGTCAGTCATGATCTCCATCACTTCAATTTTCCCACACTGTTCAAAATAATCTCTTAGATGATGTTCTTCAGTGTCTTCTTTAATGCCACCAACAAAAATCTTTCCACAGCTGTTTAGGTTCTTTAGGAGACTCTGACTTAGACATGACAGTGGTGGGAGAGGAGACTTTAACGATGCTTACTTGGCAGCGTCCACGGGCAGAAAAGCCGTCTTGGCTATTCTTGATCCTCAGCACTTCCATATAAATTTTATGAGGTAGTCACTTTCCACAAAAAATCTGTTGGGATTTTAACTGAAGTTGTATATAGAATTTATAGATCAATTGTGGAAGATCTTTGCAAGACAAAGTTTCTAACCTATGAACGTAGTATATTCCTCTATTTATTAGATCTTCTTTCTTTTTACAGATCTTTCTAGGTAGGACACGTAATTTTCTGTATTTTTGATTACAACATCCTAGTAGTTGTGAAGTGGTATCTCATAGTGGTTTTATTTTGCATTTCCTTTATGACCAATGATGTTGAACTTCTTTTCATGTACTTGCTGGCCATTCATATATCCTTTTTGGGGAAATGGCTATTTATTTAAGTCCTTTGTCTATTTTAAAATTCAGTTGTCTTTTTGTCATTGAATTGTAAGACTTTTTAAAAAATATATTCTGCTTATTAAATCTTTATCAGATATATGAATTAAAGGGGCACCTGGGTGGCTTAGTTGGTTAAGTGTCTGACTTTGGCTCAGAGCATGATCCCAGGGTCCTGGGATTAAGCCCCCCATTGGGCTTCCTGCTCAGCGGGAAGCCTGCTTCTCCTTCTCCCACTCCCCCTGCTTGTGTTCCCTCTCTCGCTGTGTCTCTCTCTGTCAAATAAATAAATAAAATTAAAAAAAAAAAGCTTTTCCTAAAAGCTATAATTAGCTAAGGTGTTTATTACTCTAAGACCTAAAAATCATAACCAGCCAGCGTATCTATGAGAGATAAGAAGTGATTACATTTTGTGAGAGCTTCAGAAAAGATTCACTTTCTATGAAGAACGTAAATTCACTTGTCAGAATATTGGAAATACACACTAAATTCGTTTGAATTTGACCATCAGTGAGTGGTCACTGGAGGAAACAATTATTGCTGAAAGATATCCAATGATGGTATTTATCTTAACCATAATCACATACTGTACAAATACTAAAAATTGTTAGAAGTATAATTGCTTAATAAAACCCAGCTTTCTACCCTTTTACTCATAAAGCTCTTTGAACAATATAGTACATGAATTTTTGTAGTCTGAGTTTTGGCTTTGAATATTAGATCCTATTTAAAAACTTAAAAGAGGAAGATGCTTGCTTAAACAATTATAAGTTAGTCAACTGTGAATCTTTACTGGCCAAATCCATTACTCCTTCAAGTGAGGTGTCACTGTCTGTACATGTGCTGTAGAGCTTGTGGAATAGTTTTTTTTTTTTTTTAAGTTTTTATTTATTTGAGAGAGAGAGGGAGAGGCATGAGTGGTAGGGAGCGGCAGAAGGAGAGGGAGAAGCAGACTCCCCGCTGAGCAGGGAGCCCAATGCAGGACTCGATCCGAGGACCCTGGGACCATGACCCAAGCCAAAGGCAGACACACAACTGACTGAGCCACCCAGGTGCCCTGAATATTTAGAGTTTTATGTAATCAATAACCTGAACACCTGACCAAAGGAGCTTAAAATCTTGAGACCACAAGAACCTGTTTAAAGGCTCAGATCTTGTCACAGCTCTTGATCTTGAGCTCATGATCAAGAGCTCATGAGTTTGAGCCCCACACGGGGTATAGAGATTGCTTGAATAATAAATAAACAAATTTAAAAAAAGAGAAAATTTGCTAATTATCGTACTTACACAATTTTTTAACATAAGGGAAGCTGATTTATAATTGTTTAACATATTCTGAAGTAACATAGAATGAAAATTGATTACCTAATCAAGTAGCAACAGAAGAGTAAACTAAGGATGAAGACAAATATAGCAGTGCCAAAAACCACAATATATATGTTGAGAGGCAGATTCTGGAATCCAATATTAGGCATCCTGAAGTTGTAATGTGGGAAATCCGAGCTCATGGATGAACTGTGGGGGAAGAAAAGAATGGAAAAAAATTAGGTTATAAAGACTAAGAACCAAGATAGCATTATCTTTTTTTTTTTTTTAAAGATTTTATTTATTTATTTGACAGAGAGAGACACAGCGAGAGAGGGAACACAAGCAGGGGGAGTGGGAGAGGGAGAAGCAGGCTTCCCGTGGAGCAGGGAGCCAGATGTGGGGCTCGATCCCAGGACCCTGGGATCATGACCTGAGCCGAAGGCAGACACTTAACGACTGAGCCACCCAGGTGCCCCGACAGCATTATCTTTGTATGTATACAAGGCAACAATTTTATTAAGACTTGACCTCATTTGAAACAAATATGATAAAGAGTTAATATTCTTGCCATTCATCCATTTATCATGCCACAAATATTTACTGAGTACTTGCTATGTACCTGGCACTATTCTAGAAGCTTGAGATCCTACCTAAAAACTTTTACAAGTTACATTCATTCATAAAAAGGCATTTCACTGGGACGCGTGGGTGACTCAGTTGGTTAAGTGTCTGCTTTTGGCTCAGGTCATGATCTCAGGGTCCTGGGATTGAGTCCCACACTGGGCTATTTGCTCAGCGGGGAGCCTGCTTCTCCCTCTGTCTCCCATTCCCCCCTTCTTGTGCTCTCTCTGACAAATAAATAAATAAAATCTTAAAAAAAAGGCATTTTGCTGAAATAATGCCAGGAATCAATAAACATATAAAAAAGTTCAACCTCAAACTGCTCAGGCTCTCCGCTCAGCTGAGAGTCTGCTTTTCCCTCTCACTCTTTCCTCTGTGCGTTCTCTAATAAATAAATAAAATCTTTTAAAAAAAAGTAGCAGCATTAATAATAGTAAAATATTGGAAATAACACATCTCACAAGGAGGCAATGATTAAATAATTATGTTGAATCATGTTACAGTATTATAAGGTCATGAAAATCTGTTTCAGTGAATTTTAATATCAAGGGCAAGATAAAGGTATGTCGGAGGGGGACCTGGGTGGTTCAAGTCGGTTAAGTGCGTGGCTTTGATTTCAGCTCAGGTCGTAATCTCGGGGTCATGGAACTAAGCCCTGCGTCGGGCTCCACACTTGGGGGGAAGTCTGCTGGAGATTCTCTCCCTCTCTCTCAAATAAATAAAATCTTTTTTAAAAAAGATTTTATTTATTTGTCAGAGAGAGAGAGCGCACAAGCAGGGGGAGCAGTAGGCAGAGGGGGAAGCAGGTTCCCCGCTGAGCAAGGAGCCCGATGTGGGACTTGATCCCAGGACCCTGGGATCATGACCTGAGCTGAAGGCAGATGCTTAACCAACTGAGCCACCCAGGTACCCCTAAATAAACAAATCTTAAAAAAAAAAGATATGTGAGAAAAATTAAGCAGGCTATAGATTGTATATAAAATATCCCAATTTTGGAAAAGGTTGAAAAATGTGTACATACTGGTGTATGTGTGTGTATGGCAGAAAAAAGCCTGAAAGCCAACATGTCAAAATATTAACAGTGGCTTGTGGTTCACTAGTCATTTTGATTTTCTTTTTTTTTTTTAACTCCCTTTATTAGGTTAGGCCTGTTCTAAGCATTTTACTGGCTTTATTTTATCTTCACATAATACCTCTATAGGTAGGTACCCTGGTATCTCCCATTTTATAGATAAGGACACCAAAGCTTAGAGACTTTTGGTCACATAGTCATGACTGACCAAGTATGTATGGGAGCCAAGCCTTCTCCAACTCCAAAGCCAGTGCATCCATAGCCTATATGCTCTATGGTTTTTCTCTTGTGTTGTTTTTATAATCAGAAAACAGCAAATATTGTTTAAACATTAAAAAGGGGGCTATTTCTGTCAATTTGCTTGGTAATACTTACCGATCACCACACAGTTCAAATTCCATGAATGGAGGTTGCCCTCTCCATTAGATGATGAGCTTTAGTGATAAACTGGCTCATCACACCTTTTCACTAGAACTTTTCTTGTCATTTTGATTCATTACGAAAGAAAGAGCAACTACTAGGCCTGATCATCAAGACCACATATTGATAAGTGAATTATAACAATGACTACTGCCAAAATCAAAACAAAATAAAAACCTACTTTTTTATATAATATAAATTTATTTATATAATGTAAATTTAAAAAGTGTTTACAGATTTTTAATGTCTTTGTTGGTTCCCAGAAGACTATATTTATAGACACTACTGAGATACTTACTGGCTGTATCTGAAATCTAATGAGTTATTACTTTAAAAAAAATTTATTTGAGAGAGAGAGTGCACACACACACACAAACGTGGGGAGGGGCAGAAGGAGAGGGAGCAGACTCTTCACTGAGCATGGAGCTCAACGCAAGGCTCGATCCCACGACCCTGAGATCATGACCTGAGCTGAGCTGAAATCAAGAGTTAGCACTTAACCGACTGAGCCACCCAGGTGCCCCATGACTTATTTTTTAAAATTTATTTATTTTTATTTTTTTAAAAGATTTTATTAATTTATTTGACAGAGAGAGCGAGAGAGTACAAGCAGGGGGAACAGTGGAGGGAGAGGGAGAAGCAGACTCCCCGCCGAGCAAGAAGCCGGATGCGGGGCTTGATCCCAGGACCCTGGGATCATGACCTGAGCTGAAAGCAGATGCTTAACCAGGTGCCTTGACTTTTTTTTTAATTAATTATTTTTATTAACATATAATGTATTATTTGTTTCAGGGGTACAGGTCTGTGATTCAACAGTCTTACACAATTCACAGCACTCACCATAGCACATACCCTCCCCAATATCCATCACCCAGCCACCCCATCCCTCCCACCCTCCTCCACTCCAGCAACCTTCAGTTTGTTTCCTGAGATTGAGTCTCTTATGGTTTGTCTCCCTCTCTGGTTTCGTCTTGTTTCGTTTTTCCCTCTCTTCCCCTATGATCCTCTGCCTTGTTTCTCAAATTCCACATATCAGTGAGATCATATGATAATTGTCTTTCTCTGATTGACTTATTTCGCTTAGCATAATATCCTCTAGTTCCATCCATGTCGTTGCAAAAGGCAAGATTTTTTTTGATGGCTGCATAATATTCCATTGTATATATACATCTGCTTTATCTATTCATCTGTTGATGGACATCTAGACTCTTTCCATTCCACAAACCATTGCTGCTATAAACATTGGGGTGCATGTGCCCCTTCAGATCACTACATTTGTACCTTTGCCCCATGACTTATTACTTTTACTTATTACTTATTAATTTCCAGCTTCTAAAAACTTATACCAGGAAGTCAACAGCTGCAAAGGACAACTTCATCCCATGGAAACTCTTCTCTGAGAACTTCTAAATATAAATAATGGGTAATATTTAGTTTTGAACCTTTAGCCATTTTCTGCAAGTGCTTTTTTACTCAGATACATAATTTCCTTTTTCCTACACTCAGATCATCTTGGAAGGGAAGGAAGGAGTTAAGGAATACTTCATTGAATATATCTAGCACGCACATTAGAGAACTGTAAAAAAATTATAGCTGCACTAAACTTAACTCAATCTCCCCATCGCTGAGAGGGCCTCACTTGATGACCCTTGCTATAGTCAAGACTTAGATGGCTGTTCTTCAATCCCTTAGAAATATCCCTCACCAGACAAACTAGGCTTGGTAAAAGAATTCTCACCTTAGGAAATAAGAGATTAAACATCCATCCTGTAAGGGCTAATAGAGAGGAAGCAGGCAAACAGAAAGCGGTGTCGTAGAAAAAGGGACAGGTTTGCAGTCAGCAACTCTGGATATTGTTCCCAGGATATCACTAGCTATATGTCGGTAATTGGTCCAGCTATACCTTAATTTTCTCATTTTTCAAGTGGAACAATGCCTATTCTATGGACTTCAATGGATTCCTGGAAGGATAAAATAAGACCACAGATCCTGAAGTGTCTGAAAACTCTAAGAGGACAAAATACTAAGGTTTTAGTGCATTTGTGTGTGTGTGAGCACATTTTGGCAGGGACAAGGAGGAGGGGTGACATTAAGTAAAAGAACATAAAAGAAGCCCTGACAAAGATCAAGTCTCTGGAAAGGATTTCACCAAACTAAGTGCTCCTTTCTCAGGGAGCACTTCTGCACACGCTGCTAAGCTTTGTGTCAAGTGGCCTGCCAACCTGGTCCCCAGAGGCAGAAACAGGAAACTTATTTTGGCTAAAAGCAGCCATCAATACAGGCCAGCAGGGAGTGTGTCAGTGGTGTGAGAATGTTGCCCTGCAGGAGTCCTTGCACTGGGTGGCACCACCAACAAACTTGAGGAATTCTGAATAGGTACACAGACATGTAGAGGATTAAAGGTAGCACTGTCATTAGAGGGAAGAGACATCTACCTCAGTGCTCCTGAGACCTGGCTGCTGAGATTATTCTATGAGTTCTCCCTTCTAGGCAGGGCCTTACAACCTATTACCAGAGGAGTGGGGTTGGCGGAGGACAGCTGATGCAGAATACATTTTAGGAATTTTCTATTCTTTTGATAATTTAATTGCTTAGCTACAATTGAAATGTTGGCCCAAGAGTCTAAATAGATGGTGTATTATTCCAAGATATTAATACTAGTCTAGTGACACTTTAGTTTTATAATATTTTCATCATAATATCTTTTCAGCGTATTAACCTTTTAAAATAAGGTCATTTTTAAAAAGAGAGCCACTGGGGTGCCTGGGTGGCTCAGATGGTTAAACATCTGCCTTTGGCTCGGGTCATGGTCCTGGGGTCCTGGGATTGAGCCCCACATCGGGCTCCTGGCTCAGCAGGGAGCCCGCTTCTGCCTCTCCCACCTGCTCATGGTCTGTCTCAAATGAATAAATAAAATCTTAAAAAAATAATAAAAAGAGAGCCACGACTGGGGTGCTTGGTGACTCAGTCGGTTAAGCAGCTGACTCTTGATTTTGGCTCAGGTCATGATCTCAGGGTTGGGGAGATCAGGACCCATGTTGGGCTCTGTGCGCAGCAGGGAGTCTACTTAAGATTCTCTCCCTCTGCCTCCTCC